CTCCCCCTATGAAATCAGCCCTTTCCGATTGGAAAATTGACGACGGAACCCTATTCTATAAAAACCGTGCCTATGTTCCCCCCTCGCTCCGTCACCATATTTTATCCCTCCACCATGATCACCCCACCACAGGACATCCCGGACGCTTTAAGACGGAAGAACTCGTCAAGCGAGATTACTGGTGGCCCGGAATGGGCACATTCATCCGAAAATATGTAGAGGGTTGCGCCCTTTGTCAGCAAATGAAATCCAACATGCACCCCTCCTTCCCCCCCCCCCCCCCTGAATCCCATCCCTTCAACTGCACTTCGCCCCTTCTCGCAGATCTCAGTAGACCTAATCACTGATCTCCCTGAGTCCAGAGGCTATGATTCTGTCATGGTTGTGGTAGACCATGGCCTTATGAAGGGGGTAATTCTCTGTCCCTGCAAGAAAAACATCACCGCTGAAGGAGTTGCCCAACTCTTTTTCAAGAAAGTCTTCCTTAGATTCGGCCTTTACAACAAAATCATCTCTGACAGGGGACCTCAGTTTGCCTTGAAATTTGCAAAAGAACTGGGAAGACTCCTTGACTATGAAGTTGCCCTATCCACCGCCTATCACCCTCAGACTGATGGGCAGACCGAACACCTGAACCAAGAATTAGAAACCTATCTCCGCATCTACTGCCAATTCACACCTTCTGAATGGGTAAAGCATCTTCCTATGGCAGAATTCGTCCATAACCACCGAAAACACGACTCCCGCAATGCCTCTCCATTCTTCTTCATGATGGGCTATGAACCCCAAGGAATCCCTTACGCCTTCCCTGAATCTTCCATTCCCGCAGCAGAAGATCAAGTCAAGCACCTCCAGAAGATCCGAGAAGAAGTGATATCATGTCACAACCTTGCAATGCAACACATGGCTGATCGGACATTTGGAAAGAAGTTTGTACCCTGGAAACCTAAAGACAAAGTTTGGCAATCTGCTGCGCATCTCATCACACACCTCCCCTCAAAAAAGCTTGCCCCTAAACGCTACAGCCCTTTCGAAGTCGAAGCTGTCCTTTCCCCTATCACCTTCAAGATCCGACTTCCCCCCTCCTGGAAATCACACCCTGTCTTCCACACCTCAGAACTATTGTCCTATCAAGAAACAGAAGTCCACGGACCCAATTACCCTGAACCTCCCCCTGACCTCATTGATGGACATGAGGAATACAAAATAGAAGCAGTTCTCGCCCACAAGGGAAACATAAAAGGAAGACGCCACTTCCTCATGTCATGGAAGGGGTATCCTAGCTCCGAAAATTCTTGGCTTTCTAAAAAGGAGCTAGCCAATGCCCAGGAAATCCTGAAAACCTATAAAGACCACCTCAGACTTGCTCGACTTCTCATCTGACCATGCACAAACGATATGCCTAACTCCAAGAAATCTTCTTCCTCTTCCACCTCTTCTCTTGAAATCCACCATGCTTCGCTTGCTCACTGTGAAAGAAAAGCCATCATTGAAGCTGCCCTCCTGTCTCACGACTGCATACTCCCCTTTGAATCATTCTTCTCTGAAGACCTCGACGCACTAACACAAATCACCATCTTCCGCTCCGCAGACCTCACCATTGCCTACACCAATACTATGATGCTTGACGACAAAGCTAGACTTGTCGTCTCCCAACAAGTGAAAATCAAACATCTTATTCTGCAATGCCTCATGGACAAAGGGATTGAGACTGCAATGTCCCTCCCCGACTTCCCCAGACCAGATGATTACCTCCGCTCCTCCCACTATTCTATCACCTGCTCCCCTGAACCAGTCGCTCAGACTGTCCCTGTCTCCCCTCCTCTTCTTCTGATGATACCCCCATCCCAGCACCTCCTCGCTCCCAGCTTGCTGTCTGATCCCTCGGAAAACCCTGCCAAGAACGCAAGAAAAGGAGAGAAACCCTCATCTTCGGTACCAGCTTATCCCGTCCTATTTGCCCCACTCCACCTCTTCCTGATAAAGACAAAGAAACTGCCTCCGCGTTCATCCATGCACCCTCCAAAGAAACCTTTTGCGACCGCAATGGTGTAGACTACTCCACCATCACCTGCCGCTACTGCAACGAGGAAGGGCACCGTCAGATCAAATGCCCTAAGTACTTTTGTCGCATATACATGAAGCATGAACCACGCCACCTCTCCGCCAACTGCCCTGACCTTCACGGGACCAAAATCATCTCCGCCAAACCAGGCACCCATGCATTCCATTATCAGCTCAGGCTATGGGAGAATGAAAGAGACAACAAGGCAGACGAGTATGAGAACCAATTCGCTAAAGATGCTGACTTGGACACAGAGCTCTACCAGAATTGTGAATGAAGTTGGAGACTCCAGACGTTGACAGGGGGGTAATGTTACAGTGACCCCATCATTTTCCCATCATCACCTATAGGACTACACATGTACTATACTTCTTGATCCCCGTCTCGCTTCTAGCCTACTTCATGTCGACCATGAGGACTCCCTTATCTCTGACTTCCTTTTCTTGTACTCCTACAATACCTCATGGACTGGTCTGTGCACACTTCTCTTATGTATATAAACCCTAGCCACCTCTTGTATTCTCCTTAACTTGAATCTACTCAGTTCTACCTGATACCTGACTAGGACCTGAGGGTGCCTACTGATCTAGCTCTTTGCGAAGAGACTAGCCATTATTCAATCACTTCACCAGAGTTCTACCTCTGGTCATCGTTACCCGATACTGTACTCTAGATCTCCTTTATTGGAGCTGTTATGGAAGACTCTATCTGAGTTCGTAACAAATAGTAGGTTTGTTGTGGACTAGCGCAATGCAATTTGGGAGTATTATTCACCAACTTTTACTGCTCATTTTCTAATGAATTCAATGTGATGCTTGTAATGATGTATGACTAATAATTCTAATAGGGCATAATGTTGCTAACACTAGATGTCTGGCATCTGTGTGAGGAATAAACTCGTTCTACTGTGTCCAATGCATATACAAGATCAAGAGTACTTGCTAATCCAAAGGGTAGCTCTTCCTCTTCTCCTGCAGTGTTACTATCCTCGCTGTTGTCCGATCTACTAGTGGGTTGATTAAAAAAAAGAAGTTCTGGTGATACAAAATGGTTTGGTCTTGAACGTTCCAGGTATTTCAGCTTAAGACGCCAAAATATGGATAACTGAATGAAATCGATAGGAATAGTCAAAATGTATGGGACCACCTTGCCGGGACCTTGCCTGTGAATCTTGATATCTGCCCACCCTTCTCTTAACCAGCTAATTCCGATGAATTTTCCGCGATAGCTTTGAGCGAATGCTGGCATGTCATCCAGATGGACAATGTCATGAAGGCGAATGCGCTTCCGAAAGTAAACCTGGACATGACTGGCTATCCAATGATGCTGGAAGAGCTGAGTGCCAGGATAAGGAGTGGTAGTAATGTAAGCATGAATATCTTGAGGTGCGACATTGTGCACATCGAATTCATCGTAGGAGCAATTCATGTTGTATTGAAAAATGAGCGGTGTGGGTTATTTTGATGATGGTTGTTAATGAAGGTTGCTTGTGACTTGCAACCTGCAGAGTCTTATGAGGCGGGTAAAAGTGTGATTAAATTTCAATGTCTATCGATCGGTAGTAGGGTCTGTGCTCAGTAAGGAAATTTCCCTGACAGTGTCTGAGAACAATGTATTCCGATGTACGGATATTAAAGTGGCAATAAGGATTTGTCCCTTGTGGAGTGGCGTTTAGGCAGGTTATATATTCTTAGGCTGCGTCCGGCAATGTTCTAATTCGTTCTTCAATATGCAGAATTAAATGATAAATTCGATAGCATACAATGCAATCTTGATGAATGTGTTCTTTCAACCCAATGCTCCATAAAAATATGATGTTGTTTAAATAAAAGTAGGCATTTCTATGGTCAGTGCCAATATGAAGGAATAAAGTGACAAGTAACTGATGTAATAGAAAATATCAAGAAGTTGATGGTATTGGAACGGAGGCATGAAATATGATGTGTAATCTAGTCTAAATCTGTATCACTATTTTCTGAACTATTTGATGATAAATTGTCTGTTGCAGAGTTCGATGTGTCAAAAGTATTTCGGAGATGAGCAAATTCAATTGAATTTCGGGTTATGTATGGGAGTAGTCTGAAAGCAGCTATCCCTCTTCTTGAAATAGTGCCATCAAGTTCTTTCAAAATGTAGGAACCTCCTTTGTTTTGCGGTTTAACTCTTTTTCTATTTGTGTGTTCCGTACTAGTACTAATTCCCCAGGCTTATAGTGGCCTTTCTGAAGTCATAATAGAAATCTTTTTTCAAACTGTTCCTTTGATCAGAAATGTGCCTTTCTTAAAGTTTCTGCAGCTTGAGCTAAGTCTTCAGGCTGTTTTTCTAACTGTTGAATTCTTAAGGCTAGCAATTCTTCTGATGTTAAATTGCTATGAAAACCTTCTACCGTGAATGTTGCCTCAGCTAAGTCAAAAGGTAAAACTGGGTGAACTCCATGAACCAAGTAAAAAGCTGAAAATCCTGTAACTCGGCTAGTCATAGTCCGATCGGTGAATAGTGTGTGAGGCAGCATTATTGGCCATTGAGTAATCTTCTTTCCGCATGCTTTTACTAAGGCTTCTCATAAAGTGAAGTGCCCTCTTTCTACTACCCCATTAGCTTGAGAGTTATATGCTGAAATTGTAACATGCAGAATGTCAAGTCTTTTCACTAGGTTGGCAAATGCTCCTTTGACTTCAGGACCATTGTCTGTTGTTACTTGGCCTATTGCTCCATATCTACAATGAATGTCTTCCCAAAAGAATGCACTTAATGCTTTTGCTTTGTTTGATTTTAAGGCTCACCCTTCTACATAATGTGACAAATCATCCCTAGCTAATACTATATATTGGTAACCATGTGCAAGTGGCATTTTCATTATGTCAATATAAATCTTTACAAATAGTGTGGCAGGAGTTGAAACAGTAAGGGGAATGTGCATTTTCTTTGTTGATTGTATTTGACATTCATGACAGGACTGGACATGGTGTCGAACATCGGCTAGCAAGTAAGGCCAAAAGAAACAGTACCTGATAGTTTCCCATGTTGAGTATTCTCCATGATGCCCTAGTTCTTCATGAGCTTTATTTAGAATGATAGATCGTAATTTAGGATTTAATACTACTAAAAGAGGGGGTCGCCCCTGAGCTCATTTATACATTCATCCATTCTGTACAAAAAATTGAACTGTCTTTTTAATGAATATTTTTCTGGCTGTGACAGAATCAAATGAGGGTGCTTGTAAAGTAGTTAAGAAATGAAAAATATCTTGAAGGGTGCTGTCTTGACTTGTTAATCCCATAAATGAGGTGGATGCGACACCTTCTGTACTTGTGATATTTGCATGATATGAGAGGTAGGGGCGAAATGTTGCCTGGGATTGTCCAGAATAAAGAGCAATATCATCTAACCATGAATCTTCTTCTTCGTCTTCTATTTGTTCTCCTTCTCCAAGTCCCCTACGAGATAATGCATCAGGTCCTTTGAACCGAGTAGCAGGAACATGAACTAGTTTAACATCAAATAACAATATTCCTTGTATCCACCGATTCATTGCAGCATTTGGCTGTAAATCTGGTTCATTAAGCATTCCTTTGATGTACTTGGCATCTACTTCAACCTGAAGATTTTTCACTCCAATGAGGTGAACACGAAAGGCTCATAAGGCACGAAATAATCCAAATAATTCCAACTTTGGTTGTGAATACCATGATTCTACTTCTGTGAAAGAGATAGATCCATACCAAGCTGGTCTTTTCTTTCCATTCTCATCAATTTGTGATAAAATAATTCCTACTGACATGTAGCTGGAGTCTACTGACAGAATAACTAGAAGATCTGAACTATAGTCAATAGATCGTAAAGCAGGTGCTGAAGCTACCAATTGTTTCAATTTTTCAAAAGGCTTCTTTTCGTCGCTCATCCCAAATAAAGTCAAAGTTTTGTCTCCATAATTCTGTTATGGGTCTAGCTAGTTCAGAATAGCCAGGAATCCATATTCTGACAGTTCCACATAATCCAAGAAATCCTCGTGCTTCCTTTGGTGTGGTCAAGTCTGGCCAATTTAGAATTTTGTCTACTTTTAATTGATCAGGCAGCCGTCCTTCTGGTGTGCAGGTTTGACCTAGGATCAGTACCTTTGGTAAACATAACTGAATTTTTAATGTGGAGAATATTGCTCCTGATTCTTTGACTCAGTGCATAATGCGATGCACATCTTGCACATGTTCCCAAATAAATTTCCGGATTCCTGAATTTTCTTTCAATGTCTCAGGGTTTCCTTCATAGTCTAAGTAGGCTGATTTTGGACCTTTGATAGGTAGGTCATTGATAAAAAATATTGGCTTTGGTAGGAATTTCATCATGAAGGATAAATGTCATGCACTTTTGGAATTCAGCTTGTGAATTTGTGAATCCAGTTGGTAAAGATGTAATTCTAAGAAGTCCCAGTGGAGTCAAAAATGCAGTGAGATCTCGACTAGCAGGGTGAAGTTTGCAAGCATCAAATCCCTAGAATAAATCAAAAACCGTGTAACATTGTGCACCAGCAAATGGTTCTACAAAATCATCTAAGATAGGGGGTAATCCAGCATCTCGTATAGTGACTTTGTTTAATGGCTGTAAGTCATGAACAATACAAAGCTTCCCATTCTTCTTAGTTACACAAAACCATCGAGATCGATATGATGATTGACTCGCTTCATATACTCCTGCACTTATTTTCAACTTAAGTACTTCTATTACTTTGTCTTTAATTCCAGGGGGTATTCACATATTTTTGTATTCCCATGGCACGTGTGGTACAGTTGGAATGATATATGGTGAAAAATATGATTCTTTAAAGGTGCCACGATCATTATCCTCAAATGCTAGGGCATCTTCATTAAGCATCATGATATGACTGAACAATTTCTCTTCTTCCGTTGACAGGAATCCTATAGAATTAATATTAAGGGACTTCATTCTTTCAGTTGTAATTTTAATGGATGGCTTAAATTCAGGGAGATGAGGTGATAAGACAGGTAGGGTTTCTAAAGGGTCACTTGGAAACCGTCGCTGGACTTGTGCTTCTTGGGGAAATACTCCTGGAACAGGCTTAATTTTCTTATCAACTCGCTTATACATTGTATATGAAATGGCGATGTCATTTGAAATGTCAATGTCTTCTATTGGAAAGTTCGGTGGAATCCAAAGGGTGGAATCGGTGCCTATGTTATCAAATTGATCGGACATGGCCCAAATGGTGCCTACTTCTTCAAAAAATTCATATTCGTCCCTGTGTGACATTTTGTTAGGGACTTAATTGGCAAATGGTCCCTAAGGGTTTTTTTTGAATAAGGCCATAATCTTAACAATTTTGTTTGACTTCTGACTGCTTAATTTGTTTGGGATGTATATGGCTAAATTTGGTTGTAGTGCAAAGTCTTTCCAGATCATGTGAATTTGCTCTTTTCGGATCATGTGAATTGGACTTTAGTTATTTTCACAAAATTACACTATAAGAACCTTGAACATATCACTGGTATTGTGGCTAATCTAGCCCTCCAAGGCTCATGGACACAATAACACTTTGTAAGTAACTAAATACTTGAATCTGCTTAGTAGTCGTACATACAAACAAATAGTAGCAGGCATATGTGTGCAAACACGCGATCTTCACAGGGAACAAATGGATCAATACTAAGTATGAGCGAAACAAACATATCAAATGAAGACACTAAATAATAAGTACAAGCAGACAAACAAACTTGGGCATATAGGTGTACATAGACAGACAAACAAATGCAAACCAAATATTTGGACTTGAAGGGCTGAGGCTACCGAGACGAGGACATATTGAGAATGTTGACAAATCTATTTGTTGAAATTAGATATTTGACAGCTGAATCCAAATAGAAACATACCAAGCACTTGAGAGATCCTGTAAAAGTACACATACACAGATAAACATCAACAAATGAGGGACATATGACAGCAAATGGCTTCAAGATGCATGACAATGAGGACGAAATACAAACAAGCGCATCTCGCAAAGAGAGCAGGATCCAAAAATTGGTGTGCTCTAAGCACTGTTAACATAGTGATGCACGTCCTCGAACGTATTTGCGAGGCCAGGTCGAAATATAACAAACTCCTCATGATGCTTACATTCGTGTAGTGCGAGGATGTCCCCAAGGCTGGCAAGAGGCTTCACGCCAGTGCATGAAAGGTCGTTGAGTAGAAGGTCTTGAAGAAGTATGTATATGACGTCCTCGTCTGGTACTGTCAGCTGTAAAACATGATCAATAATGTTAGTCGTATGTTCGTAACCGTAGAAACAAAAATAGCTTGCAGCCGAGCGAAGGTAGGTAGACTCGTGTTGAGTCAAAAATGGATTACAAAAGGGTGCCATCTGTAGGAAGAAGGCGGAACGATTAACCCAGGCAGGGAGTGCCTTGTCGTTTTCGATGAGGATGAAGCAAAGGTCAGCTTCATTACAGTCCCTGGACTGTTCTGGGGTTAGTGTAGCATGGACCGCCGAAAGGAGGTCAAGATGGAGATGGTGAAGGTTTCGCCATTCATAGTAACGATTTTTGAGGCGAGTTTGCCCATGGACAACTGTGCCAGGGTAGTGAGTTCTGTTGTAATGGTAGATGGAGGGAGGACGAGTAGCCAGGAACTTAGCTTGTTCTGGCCCGACCTCACACTTGATGTGTGCAGCCATGTCGGAATAGATGAGGGAAGCCGTCTTGTTAAGGGTCTGTACCAAAGAAATACAATATATTCCGTTAAATGGAATGATAAGGTGTTGCTCATGCCCGCAGTGAACTCCCTTAAACGGTGCACAAATGTTAGTTTCGTACTTAGGTGGGTCGGCGACCAAAGCATTAGAAGTTGGATCAAACGAAAGGTACAAAATAAACGCTGGCATAGTCGTAAAGCCAACAGCGAGACGATCCGCCGCGATAAGGACATCACCTAGTGGGAGGCGAGGGTCACACATGTTGAAAGATTATAGATAAGTCGGTGATAACTTTGATTCGGACAAACAACAAACAATGCTCGCTTACCTAATACGCTACACTCATTAGAAGTTTTTCATTACTTTGCACCTCAGTCTTCGACTTCCGAGACTGAGGTAAGACACTCTTTTATTATATTCGTTCTTCGTATAATACTGACTATTGATACCTAGTATTTACATACATTCATTTATAGGTCAGATTATTGCTCTCAAGTCTTCAACTTCCAAGACTGAGTATTTACATACATTCATTTATAGACTTCGTTCTTTTTGTCCGCCGTGTCCTCGAACAAAAGGTTATGAGCCCTGGTGCTTAGAATCAATCCAGTACCACACAGGAACGTCAACAGAAACAATAATTAAATGTCGAACACACCCTCAGTGTCTGCAGCCCAACCAGCTGCAACTCCTTCGTCCTCGAGCATCCCTTCCATATCATCCAGCTCTACATCAACAAGCAGAACTGCACAAGCCTCCAATCGCCTATATGACATTCCGTCACTCGAAAACGACGGTTCGAATTTCCAACTATGGAAGTACCGTGTCGAGTTAATCCTTGACCTTCGAGGACTATGGGCAATTGTCGAAGGAAGTGAAAAGATGCCAGATAGCACAACACACCCTGTTCAACACCAGGAATGGTTAGCAAAGAACAAGGAAGCATGAGCTCAGATAGCTCTCACGCTGAAAGATGACCCCTTGGTTGGGATACTCTATGTGCCAATAGCTAAAGATGCCTGGAAGAAGCTCTGTGAGCGATACGAGGGTAGAGGAAAGCAAACAATTGCTCAACTCATCGGCGAATTGTTTCGAAGTACCTTGACAGATGAATCTCCCATGGAAACGCAGCTCAACACCATGCGACAGAAGGCATTCATACTGTCCTTGCTTGGTCAGCCACTCGAAGATTCACTGGTCGCAGTTGCGATGGTGATATCCCTACCCTCATCCTATGCTACTCTTCGAACGATCCTAATGTCCAGTAGTGACAAACTCACCACCAAAACCGTCATAGCCCAGGTGCTGGTGGAGGAAAGGCAATGACAGGCTAGCAATAGCCAGTCTGCGCTCGTCATGAAGGGACCTGCGCAAAAGAATAAGCCTAAGCACAAGGACAAGGACAAGAAGAAGTCAAAGGAAAAGTGCACGTACTGCCAAATTCCTGGACATGAGGAGAAGGACTGTCGAAAGAAGAAAGCTGCTGAAGACGCTGCAAAGAGTGGGAAGCAGGCAAATAAAGACAAAGGGAAAACGGACCTATCTGCGAAGGTCGCACGCATCTCATTGGACCATGACACACCACTTCAATTATTCATGGCACATGGGCACTCTACAACCGCATCCAAAGATGATTGGATAGTAGACTCTGGTGCATCTGCAAACATGACATGTCAGTGGGAAATTTTCATCAAATATCACACGCTGAACCCACCCGAACAAGTCATCATCGGAGATGGACGCTCGATAGATGCGATAGGCATCGGACGTGTCAAAATAAACATCTATATTGGTGAAAATGAGTACATGCACTCCATCCTGCAGGAAGTCTACCACATACCAGATCTAAATGCGAACCTTCTGTCAGTTCCCCGCCTCATGAAACAAGGTCTCGAAGTCACCTTCGATGGTTCCCAGTGCAAGATCCTTGCAAAGGGAAAGACCATTGCTCTTGCATACATTCTGCAAGGACCATCAGCTCCACTCGATCCAGATGTCCCTATAACAGCTCTCACCTTGCGCATGCTCCATTTGAGTGCGACTCTTGACACATGGCATCGACGACTTGGGCACATAAATTTCAACTCCATATCTAAGTTAATTTCGAAAGATATGGTCAATGGGATAAATATAAAGGGTTCAAGTACTCACAATAAGGCAGTGTGTCAGCCTTGCCTCGAAGGCAAGCAACACCGGAACCCAATCCCAATGAAATCCAATGTCGAAAGCCCAGGAGTCCTGTATTGCACATACTCTGACATGTGCGGACCCATGGAAACAGTGTCGCACGCAGGCTTCTGATACTTCATCACATTCATAGATGCCTATTCACACAATCTCGTGGTTAAACTCGTGAAAACCAAGGATGAAACATTCACACTCACCAAAGCATACTTTGAACACGCGGAGACCGAGACTGGAGAACACCCCAACTATTTTCGTAGTGATGGTGGGGGGGAATATGGATCAAAACAATTTGCATCCTATCTCGAGTCAAAAGGCATCCATCACGAGAAAACAAACGCATACACACCACAAGAGAATGGTGTCGCAGAGCGGATGAATCAGACCTTAGTTGAAATGGCACGCAGCATGCTATGAGACGCTGGACTGCCAAACACATATTGGGGTGATGCAATCCTATATTCAGCGCACATATTGAACTGGGTACCAACTTGTGCGATAGACGGAGACGTTACACCACATGAAGTGTTCACTGGGAACAAGCCATCAGTATCCCACCCTCGGGTATTTGGGTGCAAAGCCCATGTACACATACCTGATGAAAAACGCCAGAAGCTTGGTGTGAAATCGCTCGAATGTGTCAGCCTTGGGTATGCCGAACATCGAAAGGCCTATGTATGCCTGCATCGTCCAACCAGCCGCATCCTCGAGTCGCGAGACGTCATCTTTGATGAAGGAGATCCACAAGGGCCTAGTCGTGTCAAGATAGACACATTTCTCCCAGAGAAACAGGTCACCACTGCAAAGCACAACACAGCCGACCTGCAAGGCCTAGAAGCTCCTCATAAGTCAACAATTATAGAAGAATTACCAGACGACAACGCACCAGAAATGGGGAATCCAGCTACCGAATCTCCCCATGAGGATGATGATGTTGATGAACAGCCGGCTCCTCTAAGCATGGTCAAGTTCAAGCCTGAAGACCAGAACAAGGAAGTGTCAGCACTGAACAACATGTGTGCATTAGAGACAAACCGCGTTCAACCACCGAACCCTTCAGCTACTCGACAAATAGGACCCCCTGCTCCATATCCTCACCCAGCTCCTCCACCTGAAGTACGACGTAGTTCACGCACATGATGCGCACCTATGCGAGACGATGATCCTCGCTACTTCATAAATGCCTATGAGAAGTTAACACTTCAAAGAGAGGAACCAGTTATACAGGACATACCTGAGGCAGTGGGCGAGATTGAGACTGCAGAGACGCATGGGGAGGCTTACAAGGCTACAGTAGCTTGTGATGGTGAGCCTGGGACGTTCAACGAAGCAATGAACCGTCCAGATGCAGATCTATGGTATACGGCGATGACCAAAGAATTAAAGATCTTCGAGAAGATCGGCCTATACGAGGTAGTCGAACACCCTCGTGACCGCAAGGTTGTAGACTCGAAATGGGTCTATAAAATTAAGCCCGGCCCGCATGGCGAAATTGAATGCTATAAGGCCAGACTCGTCGCAAAAGGTTTCACACAGGTCCAAGGAGTCGATTACACAGACACTTTTGCCCCCATCACAAAGTTCTCGATGATTCGAGCCCTTCTTGCCCTTGCAGCCAAGTACGATCTAGATATACATCAGATGGACGTCAAGTCAGCTTTTCTAAATGGTGAATTGGATGAAGAGATTTACCTGCAGCTCCCTCCTGGTTTTCGCGACTCATCAAGTCAAGTTTGGAAGCTTAAACGCGCCCTATATGGTCTTAAGCAGGCACACAAAGCATGGTACAAAAGACTACGTACCGTCTTCGAATCTCTCGGCTTCACGTGCAGCAATGCAGATCATTCGGTCTTCTACAAGTTCGAGAACGGCACCATCATTATAGTCGCTGTCTATGTTGATGATAAAATGATACTGTCGAAGGACAAGAAGATGATAGATGAGCTGAAGAAACGGTTAGCAGCAGAGTATGAGCTTACCGATTTAGGAGAAGCGCGCTGGATCTTGGGGATGGAAATCATTTGCGACCGCGATAAGCGCACGATCAAGCTGTCGCAGAGCTGCTACATTGAATCAATACTTGAGCGTTTCGACATGGGATCCAGTCGTCCTGTTAACACACCAATGGACCCTAATACCAAGCTCATCAAAGTGAATGAAGCCGAAGTCGATGTAAAGACTTACCAAAGTGCCCTAGGTGCACTGATGTATGCAATGCTTGCAACATGTCCAGACATCGCGTTCGCAGTAGGTGCTCTAAGCAGATTTGCAGCCACCCCTGGACGAGCACACTGGACCGCCCTAAAGCATGTCTATTGGTATCTATGCGGCACCGTCAATAAATGTTTGATGTATCAAGGAAAGTCAGAAACGGACTTACATGCATTCGTCGATGTGGACTGGGCCTCAGATGTCAATGACCGGCGTTCGATAACCGGATATATATTTTCAATATCTGGAGGAGCGGTTAGTTGGAGTTCGAAGAAGCAAAGTTCAGTCGCACTCTCCAGTACTGAAGCAGAATATATGGCTGCCGCTGCTGCTACGAAGGAGGCCATTTGGTTGAGGACCCTACTCGGAGAACTAAACTTCTCAGAGACTCCCCCAATAACTCTCCAAATCGACAATCAATCTGCAATTCTGTTAGCCGAAAATGCCATGTTTCACGAGCACACCAAACATATAGCGATCCAGTATCACTTTATCTGAGAGAAGTTGGAGGAAGGGAAAATATGCGTTGAGTATGTTCCCACGAATGAACAGATCGCCGATGTTTTGATGAAGGCACTTGCGCGCGAGAAGCATGGATGATTTGTTGAAGGAATGGGAGTGGTGAACAGCGAGAGTTGACTTGTTGAGTGGGTGTGTTGAAAGATTATAGATAAGTCGGTGATAACTTTGATTCAGACAAGCAACAAACAATGCTTGCTTACCTAATATGCTACACTCATTAGAAGTTTTTTCATTACTTTGCACCTCAGTCTTCGACTTCCGAGACTGAGGTAAGACACTCTTTTATTATATTCATTCTTCGTACAATACTGACTATTGATACCTAGTATTTACATATATTCATTTATAGGTCAGATTATTGCTCTCAAGTCTTCAACTTCCAAGACTGAGTATTTACATACATTCATTTATAGACTTCGTTCTTTTTGTCTGCCGTGTCCTCGAACAAAAACACATAGGTAGGGAATAGTTGAAGGGCTTGATGATGTCGTTGAGGGGGTCCTCGTTGACAATCTCAAAAGAATAGTCTGTTGTCGTCACTGAAAAGGCTGCTTCCGTCTGTGTCGATGAAAAAGTCAGCTGCAGAGACTTTGTCGACGCAAGAGTTGGGTGGTACATGTAGGATATGATATGGCAAGGATAAAATAGATGAGTTGGAGTTGGTAGGTGAAGCCGGGCTGCACACATACAACGTGATGTGAGGGAGGAGCTGGTTGGTGCCGGTGAGTGAAAGATTTGCCGGAGGTTGCGGACCAGGGAAAGGAGTAGGCGCACGGCTTGCCAAGGTGGGTGCAGGGAGCGGATACTGTGAGTCCATCATGGCGGACAAATGAGTTTCTTTGTGTTTTAAAGTTATGTTATTAAATGAATCTGAATGAAAAAAAGAGGGTGGCTCACCAGCAGCAATCAACCTACTAATCCTGGGATCCCTAGCTCCAAGGTGTCCAGCATCAAGAGTGGGCGGTTGAGAGTGAGAAGGAACTTGCGGGACCTGGAACGGATCAGGAGTAGATGGCTGAGGTTGTTGCAGCCAGTTGTGACCAAGGGAAGAAGTAGGGGAAGTATGAGAGTGAGAAGGAACTTGCAGGTCCAGGAACGGATCAGGAGTAGATGGCTGCGGTTGCTGCAGCTGACTCCCTAGAGGTTCTTGAAGTAGTATAGATTTTGTTAGTGATGGCGGCAGAGAAATGGAAAGGTGCTCACCGATGGGCACTTTCCACAGCAAGGATCCTGGACCCAGATGGTCTGGTTCATCCTTGAGGTTCCTGAGAGTACCCTCCCCAATAGTAAGGGGAGAAGGAGGCGGCTTGGTGATGCATGGAGGAGGCGGCAGAGGTGCTGAAAATACTGAGACTGAGTTAGTTGAAGATGGAAGGGTTAAAAACATACACTTTTCCTCATGGCACACGGATGCTGAATGCTGGGCCATGGCCCATCCTAAGTTGGAGTAGTTGCATTTAAAAGATGGGGGCGATGGCGAGGAAAGAGTGTTGAAGGGTGATGTATAGTTGTGATATCCCTGGACATAAGGTCCAGGGTGACTGTGCCGTCCAAACACGACCAAACATGGAGATTTGATCTCATGCACATCTTGTGGGAGAATGGGGCATCCAAGAGAAAGGTGGGTGCCGGCTGTACCGCCTGATTTAGTTTCTAGGGCGTAAAGAAGTTGAAAAGAATGGATGTTTTTAATTTTGTCGCCATAGTCTTGGAATTGGAAGGTGTTGAGTGTGACGTAGTCGGCCACGTGATTTCCCAAAAAGGAATGTGCGCTGCTGTACTTGGCATTTTCACACACAGTAGCTGGTTCATTGATTGATTCTATTTCAAAATATTGAGCACCTCAGCCTGCAAATTCAGGAGTTCCGGTGTCCAGCTGAAATATTAAGGAAGTAGCGCAGTCCATGCTGCAGAATACATTTTCTGGGCTAGTCGGCAGACTTCTCAATTTTTTGCTTGCTTTTATACTAACTACTGTAATAACTAAACAAATCAAATTCATAGTTATTTTATTTAAAGTTCTATCTAAATACTGTAAGGTTGTACAGAGCATGAGGAACATGAAAAGTTGCGCAAGGTATAAACCTTGTGATGTGTGTGTTGACAGATTCGGCAGTAGTGGCTCAATTAGGGAGGTGAAGAAGCTTGTGATGTGAACCAGCAAATTACGGGTGTTCGATTCTTGAGAAAAACAACACATGATTTCTTCGCGTGGTGTAATCATTAATTCTAAGTCCGGTGCTTTTTTTGAAACCGGATTAGGGAATGTTAGATATGTGCCGTCGGCTCTCTCTATGAGGCCAACTCTATTCTCAGATTGCCAAGATCGGCCTAATAATAAGTCAAAAGGTGCATTCTCATTTAATAATACCATTCCTAGGGTCTTAATACTTCTGATTTCAATTGGAACACTTCTAATAATTCCTTGAAGAGTTCTGATTCCGCTGTTTGCATCTCTTAGACTTGTCCGATATTCCATGTCCGCCAGTAAACCTAATCCTTGCTTGTATATTGACGTATTTAGAATATTTATTTCACTCCCGGTATCATAAATAGCTCTAACTTTATGTCCATTTATTTCGGTGTTAATATAAATCAATTCTCCACGCGTTTTGGACTTCTGATCTTGCGACAGGAAAGTTTCCACAATGGGCTGGTCTTTTCCGGATTTAGGTTTAATCAAATCAATTAAACTTCCAGACAATTCTTTTGATGCTGCTAATATTTCACATTGTCTTACTAGGATGTGATTGGCAATAAAAATCACCAGTTCTCACTATCCTCCACGGTCAACGGTTCAGACAAATACCAACGGTTGATAACATGGTCGTTCATGGGAGGAGGTGTAAAAAGTTGGGTTGTTAAAGCAAATTTCTAATGACTTTTGAAAGGGGTGAGATTAAGGTAAATCTCAGGGACAGTGACCATTAACTGGCTTGATGCAGTGCTTAGGTACTTGATAATTGATAGTCCGTTAACTGGCTTGATGCAGTACTTAGGACACAGATGATAAGGATTGATAGACGATGGTGTAGCCGAATCGATAACTGGCTTGATGCAGTACTACGATGCTACAAGAAGATGGTTGCAAAGATATGCAAAGATATGTAAAGATAAGATGCAGATATGGATCGCAACGATGTGCAATGAATCAGAGTATTATCTCATAAACACTCCCTATTCTCAAAATCAGAGGAGATCAAACTAAGCCTCTAACACAATCAAATCAACCGAAATATGTGGCTTCGAAACTAACTTCTCTGCTGCTCAAGTACTGCATGATGAGTATGACACAGGTCAGAACAGAGTACACCCTCATGATGTAGTCTTAAAGTAGCCAAGCTCTTAATATTGTTGAGTAAAGTGCTAGTCTTATTTGTTGTCCTTGCTAATTGTTAAGAAATACGTGAATTCTCCCCACAGAAAAGATATCCTGTGTCGTAAAGAGAATAACGAAACTACACTAGACAACTGATAACCATGTACCAGCTAGTGTAATTTGAGGATTGGCTCAAGGTAGGCCTCAGAAGATTTAATATGTCGTGAAAAATGATGACAAAAGAATGGAGGGAATAAACTAATATACACTCAGATGTTCACACAAATATAGGGTGAGAAACTTAGGAAGATATTCAAATCCTCCTTCCTTCTCAAAGGGGAATCTATTCAAGAAGGGGATCTCTTATTCAGAGGGGAAACAAAGTCCCTTATATACTACTCTAAATGTGGCTGTGTAACTATCTAAATAAGGAAATATGACTCATTCTGACTCATACCTGAGTCATAATAGATATGACTCATAGTGACTCAGACAAGAAAATGACTCATAATGACTCAATGGTTGAAATGTTCCATGATGACTTGTTCACTTCTCCAATATTCCCGTCTATAAACTTTCTCCATTCAAATATCTGACTAATCCATGTCATCTGACTAAGCCATTGACCATTTATGAACCGTTGATACGCCGAATTGTTATCTCAGGTATGTTTCCAAACATACAGAAAGTTGTGAAGAATGTGTGAGAAAATGTAAGAGATCATGAGAAATGCTGATTAATCAGTTGTGATATGTTTGACACTGAACTTTGAGCCAGATAAGTATTAATTTAAACTGTTAAGTGGTAATGTAGAATCTTCAAGTCTGAAAATGTTCAAATAAAATCTTAAAGTAGTGCAGAAAATTCATGATAATTCCATAGAGCAAAGTAAGGAACTTTAGGACTTTAAAAGTAGCCATGACCATGCACAAAACAGGTTTGGTGTGTGTCAACGTGCTGATAGCTGAATTTGGCTATTTAGAATCTGTTCTAATAATAATTTTGGATCTATTTTTGCCGATAGTTTGGATATCCTAGGTATGTGTTTCGGTTCTTCCCGGTTAAGCGTGGGAACTGATACATTGGGCTTTGCATCCATATTTCTTATAATGCCCTGTAGCATCCCCTTTTCCCTATCTCCTTTCTTTTCTCTTTCCCTTACCGCTGGGGCGTCTTCCATGATTTGATCATCATCTCTGTCATCATAGTGTGGTCGCTGCGCTTTTACAGGCATTGAACGTGCCTCCTTGCATCCTCTCTTTTCAACTTCTGTATGTTTTGATGCGGCTGGCACATAGCGCCGCTCGACGTTTTCCTTGATTGGTAAGTTGTTTCTCACTTCAGTTTCTAACTTTTTGACTTCTGTAGGGTTAAATTCTCTCTGTATTGGGGCACCAGGACCAGGGCGCACTCTGGCCGGTCCATCTATTCTTATAATGTCTTTATTGTGGGTCGCCTGTTTATTGTCTTCTGGGGCACTGTCTTCTACTAATTCTTCTATCTGACTAGACTCTTTAATTTCCCATCCGCTCTCAACTTTTATGTTGTCCTGTGGGATAACTTGTACATTTGGTCCTGTTGCTCGTTGAGCACTCAAAGGTATGTTTTCTTTATTCTTTTGATCTTCAAAACGCTGACACTGTTCTTTCTTCAGTGTCTCCCTAAAATCTTTTGCCGATGGTGGGTATACTTCATCAAAAACTGCTCGATGTTTTCCAGATTTGTCCCTTAATGTCCTTTCTGCTGGGTAGGCCACATATTCTATTTCATCATCACTGATATCTGACCCGCTCATTACTGCAGGTATTAAATAAACTTCATGTTCTGATGAATCCCATTCACTATCCATAACTAATTGTACAAAGTGAGTACTTGCCATTTGCTGACTCACGAGCCGCTGCTGAGCCATCACAAAGGTTTCATTTTCCTGTCTCCGTAGTTCTTGGCCTCCTGGTAGTGTTAGTCATCCTGTAGCATCTTTTTGTAGTAGTCCTTTGTCCAATAATGCATTTATTTCTGGGCACCATGAAAGTCTGTGGCTGCCTCCACATCCATAACAATTATACTTAGGGGGCCCTAATTGAATATTATTTGGGTAGGTTGGAGTGAATGGTACTTCTGGTGCTCTATTTCTAGGGGGTGCATTGACATAATTCTCACGTTTCTTCTGAGGTTTTGGGAATACATCTCCTATAGTAGAGTCTATCTTTAGGGCTTGAAAATACAGTAGTGTATAATTTGGATCATCAATTGAAAGATCGCTTAATCGTTTCACCAAGTCATTTATCTGATCTGGATCTTTAGACTTAGACTTCTTCTTCCCTTTCTTTGTATGTGAATACCTTTTTTGATCTATTTCTTCTTCCGAACTGCTATCTGTGTCTAGATCCTTAACTTTGGATTTCTTTACTTGTGATTTCTGCTTCTTCTTACTATAGTAGTCACTTGAATCTTCCTCATCTGAACTATCTGCAAATTTCACTTTATGCTTAACTGATCTAGACCGTGTCTTAGTAAGCTTTTTGGATTTCAACTTACGCCTTGACTTATAATCATCTTCAGATTCAGAATCACTATCACTTTCTGAAGAACTGTCCGAGGAACTGGATGTGTCAGTTTCGCCTTCCTAAACAGGCTTCTACAGCTGCTGTTACAGTAACATGGCATGAGTCCCCCGCCAGCAGACAGCCCTCTGCCACCGCACGGCTATAGACGATACTGGAGCCTCACCAGCTCTATGACGATAGATGATGATAGACGATAAGCGGCAACTGCCGGCTTAGATAAGCGGTCTGGACCGCATATGACGACACATGACGACATAGGTCTAGAAGACCTATTTATGTTATCAAGATAGAAGGCAAGCCTCGTGTTGCCTCATGTACTGATAGAAGGGTACCACATGGACCCTATCTACGATAGAAGCCCGCCTCATGGACGCTATCTCTGACTCATGTAGATAAGCAGATTAGAACCCAGCTTTAGGCTGAGCTTAGATACGAAGAGTAGCCTTATATAAGGTCGAAGATTAAAGTAGACGTTCCTTACTTTAATCTTACTAGGTTTACCCTTGAACTCCTTGTCCTGCTAAAGCTACCTGCTCGACATCGACTCGTACCTTCAGTGACGCCTCTCACTGTCTGTAAACCGCTATCATCTCAGCGTAACCCCTCGTTAACCACCACGAGCTACGTTCGAGTACGCAACCTTTGCTTGTCTGTAAAGGCTGATGACTCTCAGCACTCGGTACCACTGTCGTGGTTGTCGCTGTTAGATTATCCTAGTCGCACACGACCGTTTGTCGTAACAGCTGCTACAATTTCAGTTGGTGAATAGGGGATAGTGCAATCACATAAGGGGTCTCTGGCAATAAGTCTTCCTTCCACTCTGTTTCGTAGATCTCTGTGTATACCTTTCCATAGATATGTAGCATGATCATTACTGCTAATTTTATGGTGTGTCTTGAGCCATCCACCAATAATGGTGAACTTACGCATATAACACTTCCATTCTGATAGTGTTCTGATTTGTTTCTTATTCTGAGTAAGGACAAATCTTACCAAATCTTTTGGTTTGTATCGCTTTGTATCATGGTCTGCATCAAAGTTATTCATTAGATCAGCTTTGAGTTGTGTCCAGTTATAATTGAAAAAGCTTTCTAAGACCTCAATTAGGTCAGTGACATAAGTTGAACAATATTGGATAACATTTTCACACAGGTCTATTTGGGAAGTCACATGATATTGCTGACAAAGCTTCTCATATTGCTTGATAAACTTCTTAACTTGTGTAAATTCACCCTTGAATTTAGGTGGTGCATGTTTTGTACCGGGATAAGGGAGTATTAATGGTCCTGGGGGAGTAGAACCTGAAGCAGTTGCAGTTGTAGTAGTCATGGTTGATACTGATGTTTATTGTAGTTCTGTGAATATTGGAACTATGGTTGACTGGTTTTGATGGGTGGAAGACACTTTATTGTGAATTCTGCAGTTCAATTCCTGCCAAGTGATAATTATGAAACAGTCAAAGAAAGGTGATTAGATGGAACAAAATTTCCCCCCTTGCGGTGGGCTCCAATTATGTCTTACTAGGATGTGATTGGCAATAAAATCACCAGTTCTCACTATCCTCCACGGTCAACAGTTCAGACAAATACCAACGGTTGATAATGTGGTCGTTCATGGGAGGAGGCATAAATAGCAGTGTCAATCTAAACAAACTTCTAATGACTTTAGGTGGGTTGAGACGGTGACCATTAACTGGCTTGATGCAGTGCTTAGGATGTTAAAGATAAAGATCGTAAATGATGTAGCCGAATCAATAACTGGCTTGATGCAGTACTATGATGCTACTAGAATAAGATTGCAAAGGTGTGCAATATGAAGATGAATATACGGATCACAACAGTACACAATGAATCAGAGTAATATCTTGTAAAACACTCCCTATTCTCAAAAATTAGAGGAGATCAAACTAAGCCTATAACACAATCAAATCAACCGAAATACGTGGCTTCAAAACTAACTTCTCTGCTGCTCAGGCACTCACGATGAGTATGATGCAGAATCAGAACAGAGTACACCCTCTTGATGTAGTCTTAAAGCAGCCAAGCTCTTAATATTGTTGAACAAAGTGCTAGTCTTATTTGTCGTCCTCCTAATTGTTAAAAATATGTAAATTCTCCCCACAGAAAAGGTATCCTGTGTGGTAAAGAGAATGTGACGAAACTACAACTAGATGACTGATAACTGTGTACCAGCTAGTGTAATTCAAGGATTGGCTCAAGGTAGGCCTCAGAAGATCAGTATATTGTGGGAAATGATGGTAAAAGAATGGAGGGAATAAACTCATATTCACTCAGATGTTCACACAAATATAGGGTGAGAAATTCAGGAAGATACTCAAATCCTCCTCCCTCTCTCTAAAAGGGGGATGTCTGTCCTCTCAAAGGAAGCTTATTTCAAAAGGGAGATTATCATTATTCAGAGGGGAAACTGGGCCCCTTATATACTACTCTAAATGTGGCTGTGTAACTATCTATTTAAGGAAATATGACTCATCCTGACTCATCCTGAGTCATATTAAAGATGACTCATAGTGACTCAGACAGAAAATGACTCATAATGACTCATACTGAGTCATAGTTGAAATGTCTCATGATGACTTGTTCACTTCTCAAACATTCCCATCTATTAACTTTCTTCCTTCAGTTTCCTGACTAATCCATCTCATCTTACTAATCCATTTCATCTGACTAAGCCATTGATCACACATGAACTGTTGAAATGTTGGAATGCTACCATAAATATGTTTCAGAACATACAGAAAAAATATGAAGAATTATAAAAAACAATCATAAGATTGTGAGAGAATGCTGAATAATGTGTTGTGGTATGTTTGGAACTTATCTTTAGATTGGATAAGTGTTAATTGAATTATTATGTAGTATTATGGGTTTGTTATGTCTGAAAATTACTCAAATCAAATCATAATGTGTTATAGAAAATTCTTAGTAATTTCGTAAAGTATAGTAGAGAACGTCAAAGCTAAAAAGTAGCCATGACCATGCACAAAACAAGTTTGGTGCGTGTCATCAGGACGACAGATTTTTTACAACACAGATTGTACATGTCAAATACAATCCCACTAATAGTACGCATCTGAATCGCCCCTTGCCAGGGGGAGCTTGCACATTGAGCCCTAAAAGTGTTTTATCCATTGACTAGTAAATTAGACACCCCTGCCCAGTTAGCCAAGCACAAGCATAGGCGCCGTGTACTATGGCAGGTGGCAGAAGCAGGGGGGATACCCCCCTCTATCAGTCAACTCCCTATCAACATCCCCTCCTCCAGAAAGCATCATCACATTGCAAGTAGTTGGAACCACCCAGTCGCCCTATTCACGTTTCTTCACGAACACGATAATGACCCAGCTCTGAAGGTAGAGGTGATCTTGTATCTTGAATGCATCTTACTTACGGTGATTATCAGAGATTTATATCAAAATTGAAGGACCACGTCCTCTATAGACTGCACAAGCTTGATGTCAGTTATTGCAACTTCACCTTCTCAGACAAAGAACATCGGTCAATCATTATTCCTAATGACACGATTTATTCAGTCCAGACAATGCAAGTGCATTATACTACATACGACATGAGGCAAGAGTACGATACTATAAATGCTAGGATGCACACCAACATCATGGTGCTTTCAGAAGAGACAACACCTAACCACCTGTACTGGTATGCCCATGTATTGGGTATATACCATATGGACATGTGGCTCAACGAGGGAGTTCAACCTGTGAAAGAGTGCCTCAAAGTGCTCTGGGTTAGATGGCTGGCTCCAATCCGGAACCATAAATCTGGTGTGAATCATGCTTGCCTTCCCAAGGTTGCCTTTGTCAAGGAGTCGGATGCAGATGCATTCGGGTTCCTCGATCCAGGGCAAGTCATTCGAGGAGCCCACTTAATTCCAGCCTTTAATTCTCAATGTGGTGTAAGTTTGCTTCGCCATGGGAGATCATTAGCTTGTCCCGGTGGGGAGCTAGATGATTGGGAAGCATATTATGTTGGCATGTGAGTCCAAATATCAATTTTTGTGCTGTGTATCCACTTACTTTTGCACAAGATTCGTGGATCAGGATATATGTGTTATACACATTTTGGTGTTGGCCATGCTGGAAGATATCCAGAGACTGTGAATCCGTGGTACTAGGGGGTGTTGTGGGCAGCATGACCAGTACTAACAAAATAGATATGGACCATGACGAGAACAGTCACTGTGACATGGAGGATGAGGGTGACAAAGACAAGGATGAAGAACTTACTGACAAGGAACTGGACATTGAAGACATTGATGGGGATGAGGATGAGGATGAGTTTAATGACCTACTGTTTTTCTAAAATTACGCTACTAGTTAATCCTTGTCTTGAACATACTGTTGTGAATGCCAACTCAAACTCTAATACGACCAGGCATGCTGTAAAGTGCCCAGTACTCACACTTGACAGGGAAGCACTGACCTTATGCCCGGTCAATCACACAGATTGGTCTGTGACATTACATTCCCTTGTGAATCGGGATACCTCTAGTTTTGGCACCAGCATATTATAAAAAATAGCTATGTAAAATACAGCTTGAATTGAGGAATATAAGATTGTTCAACCAGGGTACCCTACCGTCTTTTCCCAGGTGTGATGGCCCAATGATGACACATCATACAAACTCTCCTGAAATGCAGATTTGATGACCAGTGCCAAACCCACTTTCCGTGAGATAGTCTTAAATTGCCTTGTAATTGAAAACTTAAACAAGGACAATGACAATGCTCAATGAGGTGAACACACCTATGCTATTATCCCTTTTCAGCCATGAAGTTGCAAAGTCGCAACCTTGTCACGAAATACTAGATATCATCCAGGCTCCTTCCCAGCCCCACGGTTCGAGTGTGGAGGGGCGATATTTGATGGCATTGTTGGTACTGTTTCATAAGTCACATGATACAAGAAAAATTCAAACCCAGCACAACCTTATTCCCCCTCACACTCTCACCGGGGGCTGGAAGATAACATTTGTAAACAAAGGTCAGCCACAGTGACCGTGACCGTGAAACTTCGAAAATATGAGTTTGCACCTAGCGTAGGGTTACAAAATTTCGAATATGATATGTATTTTTTATCCCCGGCTATTGTTACACCCGTTGTTATACTATGGACACAGTGATTGCAACACTACAAGAGTGCAACCTGAGTGCTTCTCAATTCATCATATCAATTCTAAGGTGCCAAAAATATCACAGACATCATCTTGCCGAAGATCTTCTTGTCCATTCTGATGAAATTATTGAAGCTTTGATTAAGCATCCTTCTCGTCAAGACAACAAGTCGCAACCCACTGCAAACCACGATGCTCTGAGACAGCAATACATCACAGAGATTAAATTGATCTCATCTGAAGAAGTGGGCTGGCATTTTGGACCCTCGCATGCAACTACACAACAGCTGGAGGAGTTTAGCATCGAGGAAATGGGAACTGAAATGCAGTCTCGTGCACCTGCACTATGGGATTTGCTTGGGCTTTTGCTAGGGGCCGATAGTTCATCTTCATTCGAAGACGTGAAAAATGCCGATGGAGATATTATGATGGGCAGCTTGCAACGGACTAGCTCTGAGGTATATGATGAAGAGGATGACTATTGGGGTGATGTAGACGACTTAGATCTTGATGCACATACTACGACGAAACAAACCATGCGGCGATCTGCAGTCATCATGATAGTAAGCATTGCGCACATATTTTTGATGTATCTGAACAAATGAAAATTAGAAATGTGTCGTCATACTTGGTATTTTGATGCAAAGCACGAATCGTAGATCAAATGCCTTGCAAAGTATACTCGGCATATTCTTACAGTCGACACACACACCCCAGAAGGTGATCGATACACTTGCATGCATCGGAATCTCGATATCTACAGACTCAATCAATGCCGCAATCCGATCATTGTCAACAGAGTCACAGAATACTCTCCAAACCCTAGGAAAATCACTCCTCGCCTCGTATGCATACGACAATTTCGATGTTGATCTGAAATCTCAAGTTCCTCTTGCTGAGAAGTCAAATGACTCGTTAAAGCATCTCACCTCTGGTTTGCTGTTCCCATTGCAGCATGGTGTTACCGCAGATGACTTAAAATGTTCCGAAGAGCTATGGAGACAATCAGCGTTAAATTCCCATGTTCCGCTCTCAACGCTACCTCCGAAAAGATCATGGAAAGATCTTTTACGCATCCACCCAGAATCCAAGGACAATTCCACACCGCAACTCTCTCGGCGCGATCAATTCAATGCGCGGATGTTCCTGTTGGATTTATGTGAACATGGGCCTGAGTATTTTCGTCAATTTCAATCCGAGATTCCCAAGCTGGACGCTGTAGAGGAGATACCATTAGTCAAAACGTCAATCACAGCTGCACGTGCGATGGACATCAACAATTCAACCGTCAGCGGGAATATTCATGCAGTCGTGGAACTACTTGCCCAAGGTGGTGTACACGATCCCACCGACACCAACATTCCTGACAATCCCAACATCTCGCAATATATCATCTTGATTCACGGTAACCTGGGCACAGGGGAACGATTGCAGGCCGCACAGCTTTGATGGTCAGTGGAGGCAACCCCATGGAACCGCTTCCAGCATGTTGTCTTCATTCCGGGATTGTTCCACTTGAAGATGGCGTGTGCTGATGCTATTTGGAGAACCTTCCTGCAGCCATTAGCAGCCAGAGAGGATGAAACAAGTCTAATGCGCGACGTAACACAATTGCAACCCAAGGAGACAGGAATATATTGCTCGAAGCCTGGTTTTAGGCAGATGCACCAACTCATTGGCCACGCTGGCATATGTTGGCGTCTTGATTGCTGGCGTGTTCATGTGGCGGGTATGGACCCAAGTTATACGAGCCTTGATGCTTTTGCAGCGTCCAAACCGGACCTTGAGAAGTTGAAGAGTACTGCTAATGAGATCGCACTCAATTGGGTGGCAAATCACAAGCTGCTGCGGACGCGCCGTAAGACTCGAGAACAGCGTGATATGCAGTATGAAAATGCACTCCTACTCAACAAATACTTCCTCCTCTATGAGGAGCTATCTTACTCGATGAATCACAGGGACATTGGGCGAGTCGAGACGTCCATAGTTGCATGGATCCCAATCCTTAAGGCAACAGGAAAACATAAGTATGCCACTCATATGATGAATTTTCTAATCAATACGCACTTTGTTTTCCCCGCTGGCCTGAAGTACGTGGATTCATACGCTGATTTTCATTGAATGCTGATATCGTACCAGACACGCTGTGCGTTACCACATACTCGTCAACCCAACTGGAAAGCCAATGAAATGGCGCGCAGTTGATTGGTGTGTTGAGCTCAACAACCTGTTTACCAAGGTGCGCCCGCTGAGCTGTTGGGTTAGTTGTGTACTTGACACCATGCAGGTGAAGAATGGCGGGACGGGATCAAACCATACCATAGAGCGAATTTTCATTGAATCGCCTCTTGTCCAGGCCTATCGAAACACTCAAGCCATCGTGCAAAAAAAATTTCTGCACGCCCACCTTACCACAGATCATGCTGCCCCGAACATGATAAAGTCATTTCAAGGGCTATCTAACAAGATGGTAGCGCAATCCCCCCATACTGTGGTGCTAGGTAGAAAAATGCGTTGTGAGATTCCTGATCTTGTCGACAAAGGGAGAGAGATGATGGAAAAAGCAGCTTGGGGAGAGGGTAACAATGAATCTAATGCAGAGATGGAAGTTTGAGGAGAAGGGGCAGAAATGGAGGACGTATTGATAGAACTAATGTAAGAAGTCCGAGTAGGTGTTGAACCGACATCATTGATTCGTGCCAGAGGTGTTGAACCGACATCATCAATTCGTCATGATGGTTGTTGCGTTCTCCTTATTCTGTCCTGAGCAAGATGAGTGTTGCTCGCACACACGATTGCGGGCTAGTGAAAAATGTTAGCGTGACGAGAGTTGTCTGAAACCAACGAATCTCACCATTATGCCCTTCAAGGCCACATGCGCTACACCGGTTCTTTCGTCGTTCGACAGCAGCAACCACCACATTAGAAGACGACTGGGTGGGGGGCACATTGGGCAAGGAAGCGGTAGATATAGATCTCAGTGGTGTGATCACAAATGGTGAGGGAAGCGGCGCCGCATGTTTTTTGATGAGAGTGACGACTTCCTCCCCAAAATCTTCTGCATCTGTCCAACCAGTCTCCCGCTTGAGATCATAGACGCTCTGAACCTTATGGTGATGTGCGCAGTCAAGGATCCAATCCAAGATGGCATTTGGCAAGATGAGGGAAGGGCCAAGGTCGTTGAGGTGGTGCCAACCATAGGCAGACGCTGTCTTCTGTTCCCGCCAATCATCCAGTGCCTCTTGTAGAGCAAAGTCGTGCACTGTCTTCTGGTACTTGGGAATGCGGGAATGCTGTGGCATGGTTGCCGGCTTTTCAATGTGGGAAGCGTACTGAGAAAAATGTTCGGGGTGGTGGATATCACAGCAAATGGTTGGTTGAGTAATGGAGCACCGTTTGCAACCCAAGGGCTCTTGTTTGTTGCAGTCGAGATGATCAGAATCTGGAACAAGTAAGTATGCGTTGTCACATCACACAATTATGACTTTCTCACCAGCAGCATCATTATCAAAGCTAACATCAAACACCTTCCTGCGGCACATTAAGCTATCACGTTTCTCCGCATTAATCAAATAATCCATTGCCGTGTCAAGACTTGATTTTTGTCGCCTTCCTGTATATTTTGGTGCTTCCACATCACCCTTCACTAAATCCTTTAATCCCTGCAGGCCCTCGTCCATTGGAGGAGTATCCTCGTCAGACCCATCAGACCCATCACCGTGATCACCAATGCTGGCAGTCGGCTGTGCATGGGAACCAGCCACCCGAGAATTCGGTGTATTCACGGTACGCCACTTCGAAAGTGATGTGATAGGTAAGCTATCACCCTTTCTCTTCCAATTCGTCTCCCGCGTCTTTTTCCTTGCTGCTTTAGCTTGTCGTTCATCGTCAAAGTACTCCTTCTCCGCGAATAGCAATGCCGTGCCTTGAAGGCTTCTATCTCATACTGCACGTCCAAACCGTTGCCAAAGAGTCGTCAGCTTGCACATTGCTCGCCATTGGATAATAAGCATGATATCGGGAACGTCCATTCCCTGATTGGTAAGTTCATTTATGAATCCTAGTCTGATGGAACATGCTTACCATTCCAAAGGAATCCGTTGTGCAGTAGCCCCATGTTTCTCCTGATATGAGGTTTGTGAGCTCAGTATCTTTGTACTCTCCTGTCATGTCCGCATTGAACCACTTAATTTTATCTTGCATATCCGGAGGTAAGTGTTTGCGCAGGTATTGAGTTGCATTGATAGCATCTGGAATGCTGTCAAAAAATATTAAGAACTTTGGTGGGGGGGGGTTACCATCCTTCCAGCCCGTCGGGATGAGGAAAGCAAGATCGCAATAGCTATTGAGTGCGTACTTAATTTTTCTGACTCCAATTTTAATGTTTGGGCGGTCACTTGAGCGATGTATGGTGACCATTTTGTCAGCGTGCATGTGAAGAAGCCGGGTGGTATGTGTCAAGGAGGCTTTCGTGAGGGTAGCGGAAGCGATCATGATTGATACAGTTGCTGGTAAGATGTAATGAAGGCGGCCCAATTCTCGGTATTCTGGACGGAACTCGCCCCATTCCGTGATACAGTGGGCTTCATCAATGATGATACCTACAAGGTAAGAAGCGAACAATGGGTCCTTCAGAAGCTTTTCAAAATCGCCGTTTGGTTTCATGATTTGTTCAGGACTGACTGCAACAGCGCGGTACTTTAAGGCTTTAATTGCCTAATATCATGTGAGTGGTAACATTTCGTAGTGTTTCAAAGTAATACAGACCAAGAAGTTTGCAGCGCTAGCAGTTTCTGCATTGATAGCAATGGCCCGGATGCCGGCCTTCGCAAGAGATAATGCATTTTGTTTTCCCAGTAGGTTCAGTGGAGTGACGACGAGCTGGATGCTATTGATGCGAAACAGCAACAGAATCCAGAAGCCAAGGGTCTTACCCATCCCTGTGCCTGCAATGCATAGGACATCCTGGTCGCCTTTGAGGAGAGCATGCGCTACTTTCAGCTGCCACAGACAAGGGCGGACACCGAATTTCTCCTGGGTCTTTAGATAGATTTCAGATAATGCAGGAGTCTCACGCAGATTAGGAGCTGTCATCTGTATAACAACGGGTGTAACAATAGCCGGGGATAAAAAATACATATCATATTCGAAATTTTGTAACCCTACGCTAGGTGCAAACTCATATTTTCGAAGTTTCACGGTCACGGTCACTGTGGCTGACCTTTGTTTACAAATGTTATCTTCCAGCCCCCGGTGAGAGTGTGAGGGGGAATAAGGTTGTGCTGGGTTTGAATTTTTCTTGTATCATGTGACTTATGAAACAGTACCAACAATGCCATCAAATATCGCCCCTCCACACTCGAACCGTGGGGCTGGGAAGGAGCCTGGATATCGTCTAGTTTCAGAGACTGACATAGCTATATAGTAATAACACAAATTTCTCGCACTATAGATGCCCATACCTAGCAAGAGCAGAATTCTATCCCTCTATAGGTCTCACGGATATAATATCAAGGACTCCTCAATTCACTGATGCTCGTTCCCTGGATAAAAATAACATCGCAACCGGCGGCTAAAGTTGAAAATGTCCTCAGGTTCAAACTACATTGCCCGTGGGACAAACACCGCGATAAACCGAACTTGAGTGTCACAACAAGCGTTGCACTTCAGATTCAATAGTACGGAGGCGCACGGGTCCTTTTTGCACTTCGGTTGAGTCTGAAATTATCCTATTTCCAACTATTGTAGGCTAACCCCGGGTGCATCCAACTGTCTTGCTGTGTAGGTTTGCATCGGAGGGTTTTCCTGATGTTGGCATTTCCATGGACAAAATCAACCCGAAGTAGGTCATTCTAGCTGGAGTACCTTCTGTTCTGAATCTTCTGATACTTGGTGGTGGGGCAATAGCCGTGACGCACCCTTTGGGAATGAGTGAGTCTCATCGTTGTCTTGAAGCTTCGATAATTCATCTACGAACTATTACTAGTAGCTGGCCTTCGTCAAGTTGTCACCGGCCTCACAGAACTCCGCCGGAGAGACAAAAAGTTGTTGTGCACAAGTATGTGCGTCGGCAGTGGCACGGGTGCGGCAGGTATCTTCGTGAACGAGGTACAATCACTTCTTGGAGCCAAGTTATAGTTTTCGAATTGTTTGTATTTGATCGAGGTGTATGTGTATTGTACATATTCATAACTGCTTTCTCGAACAAGTCTCGAATGGTATATCTCGAACTTATTTGGCCGCTGCCAGCGCCGCATCCACGATTTCTGTCATTTTTATAACTGCCTCTTCCTCCAGAGTCCGACCGACAAGTTGCAAACAAACAGGAGCGTTCTTGAATTTCTCTGGGTCATCTAAATCAATCGTTGGCATCAGACATCACTGATCAACTATGGATTATTAAGTGCTGGCAATACTCACACATTTCGTAAACGTCCTGATCGAACTGGCCATAGAATCTATGAGGAGGGTCCTTCTCATCGCGAGCATCGAGAGTGGGGTCGACAGTAGTCACAGGGAAAACCGTAGCGGGATAGTCGAGCGCATTCCAAACGGTAGTATAGTTAGCGTACCTGTGCATCTTCTCATTGAACGTTCGAGACCCTGAAATTACAAAAATACTCACCTGTTCTTCCCATGGGGAGGTGCAGCATATGGTGCAGCTGGACAAATGATGGCATCGACAGCCCGTCCTGTCCCAGTCTCAGAGGCAGTTGCGTTCCAGTGGTCTATGTACTCTTTCCGGATATTCTGACGCAGCTTCTGCACTTGCCAGAGCTGATATGCAGTGATACCGCCATTTTGAGGACGGAAGGATGCCGCCGTAGCATCTGCGTGGTCCAGTTCCATCGTTGCAATTATCGGCTCCCCTGTCACAGAGGTTGTAATCATATAGTCCTCGGCGGAACCGGCGTTCCAGATGTCCCGCTGCACGGTGTTAATTAGTCAATAGATTGGCGAAGTGAAAGACATATCTGCTTACCGCAACTTCTCCAAGCAATTTGTGTTTGATGGGTTTCCAGTCAACAACTGCCACTCAATGAGTACAACTCGGCAGGGGAATTAGACGAGAAAAACCTTTGTGCCCAGCCTTCTGGAGAGCCGCTTTGGTGATTTCCAGGGACCTCCTGATAGGTGGGTGGGGAACAACAACGCCGTCATCCCACATGATCGCAAAGCACAGATCCTTGCCAGACCCATGGTCTGTGAGTTCGTACTCGTCTTCATCCCATTTCTTCCGAACCGCAAGGGGGTCCTTGAGCCATGGTTTAGAGTCAACGACAGCTTTCATGAAGACTTTGAGTCCGGATAGACTGTTTGTCATAGGACCAAACACGGAGAGAATCGAGTCTTGGCCCTCAAGTGAGTTGTGGGCACCACAGTACGGTACACGCCCGTATGACGGCCTCAGGCCGTATATGCCGCAGAATGCAGAGGGAATACGAACGGAGCTGTCGGGAGGTTACTACCAGTGATACTTCCAAATTTTTGTCATACCCTCCGATATCAGAACCGACACCCAATGGGCTTCCTTTTAGGGCAATCAATGCACCCTCTCCTCCTGATGACCCACCTGGGGTCAGGGAGACGTTGTGTGGGTTAGTTGTCCGGCCGAAAACATTGTTGAAGGATTCTGGCCACTGAAGTTACTTTGAGCACACGAGTAGGATTCATTTTCAGGGTGCGCTCACCATGAGTGTCTGTGGAATGTTAGTGCGGACAAATGGTATGGCTCCGCACTCGATTAGAATGTCGACCAACACTGCGTTTTTCTCTGCATACTGCCCAATCCACGAGACATAACCTAAAACCCAGCGAATCACAATGCGTTAGGTCAAGACCAGGATCGTGACTTATTGTGACTTACCCATAGTGGTTTCTAGTCCTTTGATACATATTTGGTCCTTTAGAGATATGGGTAGCCCGTGAAGGGGACCAACAACTTTCCCTGTTTTCTTCAAGTGATCATCAAGTTCAGCCGCTCGGGCCAATGCGCGATCAATAAAGACCTCCGTCAAGCAATTGACCTTGCCGGCCAGTTAATACCACATCATCATCGAACAAATGCCTGGCAACTTGGCTTACAAGCTGATGAGCAACAATGGCCCTCTTGGAGAACGCAGTGGTCACATCTACAGCTGTCCATTCTGCACTTGCCAGTCTCTTCAATAAGACATCCACCGAAGTATTGGTAATCTCAATTTCTCGAGCATTCAAAAGACCACAGGACTCTGGAAAACCAGTCACATCCAAGGTAGAAGGTGGAGGCGGAGTCACAAGCCATTCCTGTGGAATGGACTTGAGCTGTCTCTGTTTCTTCTCTGCGACTAAAGCAGTCCAATGCGGCATGTGGATAGCGTTGAGGATGAGATTAATTAGACGAGAGAATGGTGAAGTTCAGACCTTAAGAGTAGATAAGACATACAGGTAGCGGATAAAGGAAGTCCGTGGCTAATCTTAACAGCGAGATAAGACTGTAAGAATGGATTGGCTTGAGGGTCAGATGCGTGCACGAAAAAGAATTTTGGTCATGTGGATTCATCATATAACTATCTACATAGACAATCGGTCAATACGTGTATGGTTCTGTCAAATAATGGAGGCCCGGCCTAACGGAAGAGTTGTCAGCTGAAAGCTCAAACCAAAAACAAAACAAAAGAATCATGATCAGAAAGTCATTGATGTCAGTGATACACGTCCGCCGTGTTACGGGCTCGCGTGCATCAAGTCGACTAAGAGGTGCCAGTGGTGGTTGATATACAACGCTCGTCATTGAATTGGAAGTTTGATGTGAAAGGGTAAGAAACATGAAAAGATCACTCACCGCCAACTGTACGCTGTCCCAGGCAGGAAGGTTTAAAAATTGCAGTAGTATTTTCAGCACAATTTATCAAATGGGCTTTAGGCGGCGATTAAATATTATTCGGCAAGCAGTACCCGCCGCAACGAGCAGCGCGACAACACATACGGCGTCGAAGGCCCAATTTCATCAAGGTTCGTCCAATTTCTTGCAGTCAATGTGTCCATAGCCTGTTTGCGTGGCATCGCAGAAGATCGGAGCCGGCAATGGCTTTGATGGGATGGATGACAATTCTGGGATTTGGATGATGACAGTGTCTTATCTATCCGTCTTTGCAGACATTCTCCCGTCCCCAACATGTCCGCTCAAATCAGCAAAAAGCGCAAGTTCGTAGCCGACGGTGTATTCCGCGCTGAACTCAACGAATTCTTCACTCGCGAACTCGCCGAGGAGGGTTACTCTGGATGCGATGTCCGTGTCACCCACGCCCGCACCGAGGTACGCTAGTGTGCGCTGAACAGCCTTGCCATCTTGCAAATGCATTACTTTCAGATTATTATCCGTGCCACACACACTCAAGAGGTCCTTGGTGAGAAGGGCCGTCGCATCAGGGAGTTGACTGCGCTCGTCCAGAAGCGTTTCAAGTTCCCCGAAAACTCTCTTGAGCTTTACGCCGAGAAAGTGCAATACCGCGGTCTTTCCGCTATTGCTCAATGTGAGAGCTTGAGATATAAGCTCCTTGGTGGTCTTGCCGTCCGCAGGTCCGTGTTTCTACCAATCACAATGGGTCGTTCCTGATCATGTCTCCAGGGCATGCTATGGTGTCCTTCGCTTCGTCATGGAATCTGGTGCAAAGGGTTGCGAGGTGGTTGTCTCCGGCAAGCTTCGTGCTGCTCGTGCCAAGTCGATGAAGTTCACCGATGGATTCATGATCCACTCCGGTCAGCCCTCGCGAGACTTCGTTGACTATGCTGTGAGACACGTTCTGCTTCGCCAGGGTGTCCTTGGTATCAAGGTTAAAATGTAAGCTGATCAATGTATTTGAGGACATATTGCTCATCATACAATAGCATGAAGGGCTATGACCCCGAAGGCCAATTGGGCCCTCGCAAGCCCCTTCCCGACTCTGTCCAGATTCTCGAGCCTCCTCTCGACAAAATTGTCTCGGAACCTTCCTCGGAGTCAAGAGAGCCTGCCGTTGTTTCCGCTCCACCCCCAGCTGCAGAGGAACCGGTTGCGTATGCACAGGAGCCAGCTTACCAGCAGGAGGCATATGGCGAGCAGCCTGCATTCTGATCTTGTCTTTGTTTATCTCTCATCCACAAAATATGTACTCGACCGTTGCAACGCATTAGGATTTGCATAGTACTGTAAGATCCCATCTGATGAATGATGTGCTATTTCCCTAATACGTGGGTCACGCTGCTTCCTGCCGAACCGTTGCTAGGTAGTGTGAAATGCATAATAAGGGTGTTCTGAGGACTCCACCCTTTTGGTTTAACTCCGTCTTCAGCTGTCATTTCTACAGTGAGCTCAGAGAGCGTCTGCGATGGATCTGAGACTGTCACATTGCCAGATTCTACCCGATAGAGAATGGCGGCGTTTGCACTGACTGTGACGGTGATTGGTGCGTAGCCATCCAACTGGAACGTGAAGGAACCACCAGAGGGGCTCCAAAGTACTGCTGTTACCGTTCGATAGACTTTATCGAGCAACGCGCTAATGCTTGCGCTATTCTCAATTTCTTGCAACCGGGTGGCCGCCCGCTTGAGCATGAAGGTACCGTAATCAACTGCAGGGTATGATGTATAGGAGACGGGGGCGGATAGATTGTTATGATAGAGCCATGCGGCGAAGAGTTCGACCGTCTCGGGAGGCTGCGTGGAGCTTCCAATGTTTGACCAAGCACCCGTGCGGTTACCCCATTCAACGGAGAGTCCATATGTCCCATTGGCAGCTGGAAACTCATAACCAACTTGGCCATGCCACATGGTTTGTGGATTTGTGTAATTGCCACCAAAAGTCCCTGCTCCGTTGACCCAAACACCGCCTCCAAAGCGTCGTTGGTCAAGAACCGAAAACACAGGGGCTGCAGTGGCAGACGAGATGTTGGCAATCATGACATGTTGAACGTCAGTCTCCAGGAAAAACCATGTCTTTTGCCAGGATATCGAACCACTCTCAGGGTTGGTGTAGCGCATTGCTGCGGCGCCAATTTGACCGTCCGAGACGCCACCGACAAAAGCTTCTTGACCGGCATATGAAGTATGGTTACAATCGAGTACTGTAGCGTTATAGTCCACGGTAATTCCAGGGATAAGGTTCCAGTCCCAGGCGGCAGCGATGTCTTCATATTCATTGCCTTGAAGGTAAGTGTAAACAGTACCATCAGAGAGGTGGAAGCCCCAAGGCTAATATGTCGTTAGTGCTGCTTACATGGCGTAGGAAGCGACACCATACATT